TTATGAGAACAGTGAGATCATTCTGCATCAAAACTCAAATTCACTGATGCTTTGTAGTTGCTTCAGACCTGACTACTGGCACAGGAGTAACTATAAACCTGGCTTAATTGGCTGAGTAGCTTGAATTTATGGCTGCTTTGTGTTACAAGTGCAAGACAAAGCTAAACTACCAGATCAGTAAAAAAAAAAAAGTCCCAAGTATCAGGAAAAAAAAAGTACAATAAATGAAAGTTGTCATTCAGTTTCTGTGCCACGAGAGGAGGATTATTTTATTGTGGGTAGCAGGTCAAATTTTGTGTTCTGATGTAGGAAAATGCAGCTGTATTTACAATACACCCAGAAAAATCCAGCAAAGAGCAGTATTTGAATTTTTATTCTCTCTTGTTATAGAATAACAGAGAAGAAACCCGTTGAAACAACATGCACCTAAATGAAACTGAAGGTCACTTATTATTCCTGAAAGTTTCTTCCCTCTGGGAGACAGCAAAGAATTTCATAACACTGAGACTTTTGTGTCTATATCAGAAAGCTGAAGTGGGAGAAAAAAAGAAAAAAAAATTATAAATTGAGAACAACGAAAAATCTGGGCAACTTTCTGGGTTTCCATCTGTGGGGGGCTTGAAACTCCTAAAATAGTTTCTGAAAGGCTGGGAAAGAAGTGAGAATGTTCACAAGGACACACCTTTCTAATCTACAGGCACAAGAGACCCTCTCCTAGTTCCCAGATAACAGGGTAATTGGTTTAAGAAGTTGTGTTTTTCCACCATATTTAGTTAATACCCTAACAAAGGACTATCTTCTGCTTCATTCAACAATTAGAACTAAAAAAAAAAAAAGATTATGTTTGAAGATGTCTGCCCATTTATCTTGATTTTCAAATATAGCTGCAGCAGGTAAATTTATGTGTGTGTATTCATGGTAATACCAGCCAGATGCAAACGTACTTCCAAAGTCAACATACATTGAGTTTAAGCTTAGTTATTAAATGACTAATTATGTTCCCGGGCTTGATGTAGTTTTATGGGTGAGTGCACAACTGTAGTGTCTGTCATAAAGAGTCAACACACAGAGATCTCTTTCGTGCTACTGAGGGGAGAAAAAAATGTATAGAGGACACAACTAATTGAATATTGGTGGGTTTGTTTCCCAGTTGTGGGATTTAGCACTGAATTTTACTGGAGATAGCTCTAATTGTAGCTCTTTTGGAATGGTAAAAAGAAGTCTTGTGTTGTAATCCCAAAGTGTCAAGGGCAAACTCACCCTGATGTGCTTTGAGTAAGTACTCTGGTGTCTGGCCCTAGGGAGGCTTTATCTCCCACTGCCCTGGGGTTTTTATTGGACACATGAAACCCAGGCAAAAATCAGAAGTACAGTGGAGCACATGGCACTAACTGAGTAGGAAATGAACCCGTGGTGACAAAGTGCCTGCAGAAACCAAGGGAGTTAGGATAAATGACCTCATTTCAGTCTTCAACATCCTCACCAGGGGAAGCAGAGGGGTAGGTACCAATCTCTTCACTCTGGTGACCAGTGACAGGACTCGAGGAAACGGCTGGAGCTGAGTCAGGGCAGGTTTGGGTTGGATCTCAGGAAAAGGTTCTTCCCCCAGAGGGTGGCTGGGCACTGAACAGGCTCCCCAGGGCAGTGGGCACAGCACCAAGGCTGACAGAGCTCAAGAAGTGTTTGGACAATGCTCTCAGGCACGAGGTGGGATTCTTGAGGTGTCCTGCGCAGGGCCAGCAGTTGGACTCGATGATCCTTGTGGGTCCCTTCCAGCTCAGCATATTCTGTGATTCTATAAATGGCTGGGCAGAGCTACCTTACAGAACAGGGTAAAGGAGGTGTCATAAGAAGCCAGAGGTATCACAAGGCAGGGTGTACAATGGTAGGTGATGCCAGGCACTTAAAAAGATCAGTGTATTCATCAGTATATTTATTCAGATGCTTAGCACCAGTTCACAGAAAGGCTAGCCCGCATGCCTGTAAAAAAAAAACCAAAAGGAAAGTTCCAAACATGTTCCCCTGCATAAAAAAGGAGAAGGAAGAGGTTTGCCAAACATTTAACTATCAATATTTAAGTGAGATTAAGGTGTTTGGAGTAAGTTCTGAGATGAGCAGTGTTAGGCTGGGTCATGCTGAAGCTCTCCAACACCCTCAATTCTGGGCAGTGAACTCTGGGCTACCCAGCAGGAGCACATCCCTCTCCAGCAGGCAACTGCCTGCCCCTCCCAAAGCACGCAGCCACTGCGAGAAACCAAACCCTGCCCTGATCTCTCCTTCAGAGGTTGCTTATAATCCGTTAATAAAATGAACACTCAGCATCCTGCTCTGCAAAAGCCACCTTTGCGTGATTAAAACACAGTAGCACGCATGGATAATAGCGCATGGAACTGTTCTGGATAAGATAACAGGGCCAGGAGCTCAGTCCTCGAGCAGAGAGGACAAGCTGAACAGACCCGACAGCTTCTGCTGCCAAGAGGAGGCAATGTCCCCCTCCCCACCTCTGCTGCCGCTGCTCCAGCTCTCCCGTTCCTCTGACCTTTGTTAGCAAGCCGAGTTAACCTTGGGGAATATTAACCCAGGTTTAAAAAAAAAAAAAAGAAAAGCTTTTACTACGTTAAGAGATCAGAAAGGCCAAGCCTTTAGTGAGCCCGATACCAGCCACGAAGGGAGGGAATAACCGGGGGAAAGAGGGTGGGAATGCACTGTTCACTGACCGGCTCAGCCCTCTCTGAGAAGAAAAGGTGTTAACAGGGGTAATCAGCGACCTGCTGGCTTATGCCCAGATCTTCAAGTCTGTAACTAAGCAGAGCTCCATTCATTTTAACCGAGCTGCGCTGAATCTCCCCCACGGCAGCGCTGGTGTTGTTTCCCATCGCATAAAACAACGCGGGTCCTCCTAAAGGGTTTAAAACTTCCCTGGAACTGAATATTTGTTACCTGCTGTCGTGTCTTTCTGCCCAATTTCGTTCACAGCACCTGAATTGATGTAGTACCTTAGAAATGGCTGCACACAGACAACAGGAACCAGCACATATTTTTTATATCTCCCTTTCTCCTTATCTGTAGCCATTGTGCAAGAGATCTGGATAAATCCAAAGAGAGATCCAGAATACTCTAAACTCAAAAGATATATTGTTAGACATCCTAATAACTAATAACTGAGCTTTGTCTTGAGAGAGGCACTAGACACCATCAGTTCAGGAGTATATAACCTCCACATGACTTTCAGAGGAAAAAATACGTGAATTTCGAAAGAAAAGAAATGTTCAGGTTCTCCTGTAGAACAGAACAAGATTTCTTCTTGTTGCCATGATGCCAAGTGACAATTTGCAGGGCCATTTTCCTCCTCTTGGTATGGAAACTTAACAGGGAACCTTATGATCAGGTACCCTGCTTCAAACCCAAAATACCTCTAAGCTCTGAAGGCCACTGACAGAGTTACTGCAGATTAAAGACAAGGACAAACCACACAGGTGGGCACATCAGAGAGACCCACAGAAGGTGACATTGCAGTGCATCTTGGTTGTGACTTGGGATGATTTTATGTTTTACACTGCAAATGAAATTTGAGGTCCAGTTCCTGCAACTGAATCCAAACTGGAAAATTACCACGTCTCACTGATCCATTCTGGGAGCACATGAACTGAAATAGCCCTACAAATGGTGCAGCTGGAAAGCCTAAGCTAAAGTTTAATGCCAATACTCCTTATGTTTTAGTACTAAAGGGCCTGAAGATCATTTGTTCTCTTTGACTAAACACACAGAGATGGAAAAATACCGAAGGTATGATCCTCTTGGTGCACTTGATGTAATTCCTTGATATGCATTTGAAAATATACACAAACCCCAGACACTTATCGTGCCAAACTTGGGTACTTTGCCTTATCTGTAGTCTCCATGCAGAGATGTTAAGCACGGCATTCAGCAGTACTGAAGCTAATTTGGAGCTGTTTTTAACACTGAGTGGAATTTCTTTTGCCGACTTTTCCAGTATTCTCTGAAGTTTTGGGATATAAGTATTACTTTTCCAGTATTCTCTGAAGTTTTGGGATATAAGTAATTTTTTTTTTTCTGTGGAGCTCGGCTGCAGCAGAGAAAAAACTTCACTCACTGTATCACAGAATCATAGAATATGCTGAATTGGAATGGACGCATCAGGATCATCGAGTCCAACTCTTAGCCCTGCACAGGACACCCCAACAATCCCACCACGTGCCTGAGAGTGTTGTCCAAACACTTCTTGAACTCTGTCAGGCTTGGTGCTGTGAACACTCCCCTGGGGAGCCTGTTCAGTGCCCAATCACCGTCTGGAGGAAGAACTTTTTCCTGATCTCCGACGTAAACCTGCCCTGACTCAGCTTCGTGCCGTTTCCTCGAGTCCTGTCACTGCTCAGGAGCAGTTCTGCTCCACAGGAGTTACCACGAGTCACCAGAGCGTTGTAAGTAAAGCTACCACTGAGACCACGGTAATTTTCCAGAGTGCCCCGTTATTAAATGGCCCTAAAAAAGCCGACGAAAAAGGAAGTCATTTCCCAGGGCCAGTATTTTACGAGCAATCTTTATCAGGCGCTGACCTGCCCTGTTTAGGGAAGCGTTGTGACTCCTGATTTAACTGAAACGGAGCCCAACAAGCGAGCTCCAAAAAAACCCCAAAAAACCAACAACCAAACGAACCCGCGGGTCCCTTGGGCTGGAGCAGCAAAATCCAAACCCGACAGAGCATCGGGGTCTCACAGGTGAGGGGGCACCGTCACCGCCTCCCCCTCCTCCTCCTCGAGGTGTCCCTTGGCTTCCATCCGGCTTGTTTGTTTTCCTCCGTGGGAGGAGGAGGAAGAGGGGAGCCCCAGGGGTCGGAGGCCGGGAAGAGCTGGTGGGCTGCGTTCCCCGCGGGGTCCCGGGGCGATGGAGGCGGGCGAAGGGCAGCGGGCAGCGCCTCCTCCCCGCCCGCCGCGGGAGGAAGGGGCCGGGCGGCGCATCCACCTGCCGGCACCTGCCCCTGCCCCTTCCCCGCTCCCTGACTCCTCCCCGGCCGCAGCGGCTGCTCCCGGCTCCGTACTCCCGTGTTCCATCCCGTCCCGTCCCGCTCCGCCGGGAGCAGCCCCAGGTAAGCGCGGCCCCTTCGCCTCGCACGGGGCTCGTTCCCGAGAGCCGAGCGGAGCCACCCCGGGCGTCTCCCGAGGGAAGGGAGGGGAGGGGAATCGCCATCCCGGCCGCTCCGAGTGGCGCCTGCTGTTTTTTTGGCTTTTAATTAAGGCGTTTCGGCTTTGCGGGGATGCGGAGGGACCCCGGCGGCGGAAAGCCCCGTGCCGTAGGGGTAGGAGGCGCCGGGTGACAAAAAAGCGAGCGGGGACGTAGTTCGCCCCTCTAAACGGTGTTTCCCCCTGTTTCCCCCTCTCCGTAGACGGTTTCTCCACTGGGAGATGCAGCGCGATAAAGTTGCGCTTCCCTGTGGGAAGCCGGTGTGTAAGGGGAGCCGGGAGCTGAACTCGCCCAGAGAAAGTGGGTGGGCGATGTGAGTTCAGAGGATACCGAGCAGGGACGGGGGGGAAGGTGCGGAGGGCTCCGCGCACCTCTCCAGGTGGAGCTTGTCCATGTCTTGCCGTGGTGATGAAGGGCAGGAGATGAGGCAACTTTCTCAAGGTCACCGAGCGAGCAGTCGCTCGCAGGGAGAGTAAACCAGAACAACGCTTAGTTCTGGGGACTCTCCAGCGTGTATTAATGCCACCACTGGTTCCTTTTTTTTTTTTGCAAAAACTCTAATTTCTGGTTAAAGTTGCCATAATTCATCAAGTGATTTTGGAAGATCATTCTCACACTGAGCCTTTGTCCTGAGTGTCCCTGTTTGCCCTAAGTTACACGACTGCCTTTAGCGCTTTAGATTTTGGAAGAGTGACTTTTTTCAGGAGTCCTATCGCTGAAACTTCTGGGCCAAATCTTTGCAAGCTGAAATCAACCCCACTCCACACCTCCCGTCAGGTGACTTTATGTTCAGAGTTTACTTGGCCCTCGAATTTCAGCCTCAAGTCCCTGGGTGGGTGGGTGGGTGTCAGTGAATTTAAAGGGGCAGTTCTCACACTGAGCCTTTGTCCTAAGTATCCTTGTTTGCCCTGACTAAAGTGACACTAATGCTTTTAGTGCTTTAGAAAGAGCCAAGGGAAGCAGCTTGGATGATTTACAGTATTAGGTGGGGAAAGATTTTTAAAGTATTTTTGATTTTTACAGTGTTAGGTGGGGGGAAGAGATGGACGTTGTGTGTGGCACAAATCAGTGAACTGGGAAGTGATTGCAGTTGTGAGTGTTACCTGCAGGTATCAACATAAATGTAAAGCCAAAAGACCAAGATAAAATTTGATGCCAAAGTAGGACTTAACATGTCTTTTTTCCTTTTTCCTTTCATTCTTAAAGTGTTAACAATTATACTGATGCATAGGACAGTCAGCCTAGAGCAAATCCATCATGGCAGCCTAGCCTGAAAATGGAAATAAGTTGAAACTATGTTCCTGGATGTTGATGGAAAAACAAAGTGACACATTATTCATAGAATCATAGAATCTGCTGAGTTGGATGGGACCCATCAGGATCATCGAGTCCAACTCCTGGCCCTGCACAGGACCATCCCCAACTCACACCATGTGCCTGAGAGTGTTGTCCAAACACTTCTTGAGCTCTGTCAGGCTTGGTGCTGTGACCACTGCCCTGGGGAGCCTGTTCCAGTGCCTGACCACCCTCTGGAGGAAGAACCTTTTCCTGATTCCAGGGTGCTGGTCAAAATATTTCTCTTGGAGTTGCCAGTCCTGAAGATACGGCCTTTTCCTCCTGTGTCAGTCCAGGGTTGGTCCACATGAATATTTCCAGTGCCACGATGGTAGCTCAGCAGTGTCTGTGCTACTGCAACAAGTACTTCCCCCACATCTTGGATGCCTGGATCCCGAAACCTGTTTCTGGCAACACGAGCCTCCCCATGGAGTGAATTCAAACCTCGTGCCAGCAGATTTGCTTTTCATTCTTCTCTGCCATAGACCCATTAGAAATGGTTTGTAGCTTCTCAGGACCTGTAGTTCACAGATTGAAAATAGCTGACCTGGACCAGATGTCTAAATAAGTCTGATTTGTGAACATTGCTTTTTTTTTTTTCTGCAGAGTGGGTAACTAGTGCTACCATATTCATACAATATACATTTGCAACTCCAATGTGGTTAACGGGTATTCTTGAGAGGTTCATTTCCTTGTCAGCGACTTTCAGTAACTTAGACACTTGAATTTTGCTGCCAGAAGATAATAATCAAATATGAAGATAACAAGGAAATATGCTTCTGCCTGAAAATTATTTGCTTCTGCCATGGAAGAAGGGCAGAGGCAGAACTGGGGATGCAGTGTAGGGGAAGTAAGAATCCAAATGCCAAGCTGGCTGTTGCTGCATCCTCCAGCTCCTCCTGTGATCTGGTGGTGGGTGCTGTGGTTTGCAGTTGTTGCCTGACCAACAGGTCCATCTCCTACCGTGACAGCACAGCTGGTTCTTCTGGGCTCTTGGTCTTTTCTGTTTCAGAAATGGTTGGTTTTGTGGGGTCTTCTGGCACTCATCATCCACTCAGCCAGGCAACAGCATTTCAGCCTCCTTCCCCACCCCAGTGTTCCTAACAGAGGCACATGATGTACTTGTGATAGGCTGAGGTTCATGGCAGTATCTCTTTTCAGAGAAGACAAATAGATAATTATTTGTAGCACAAATATGGCACCCTATAACTGCTTAAAGAGACTACTACACTCAGAGATTTTTAATGCCTTCTTTTGTCACATGTGGAAGTAGAATTAATCTTGGTTTCCTGGCCTCAGGAATACTGTTGTGGGCTTCATTGAGCTGCTGCTGATAGTGCTTATCAAGAGGCACTGTTTTTTAACACCTGTTGATAAGTACATTCTACAGTATAATGATATTTTGGGAGCTAATCTAGAATAGCTTCAAACCTATTTCTTGGGAACTGTGAGAATGCTGAGGTTTTATTTGTGGCAACCTTTCATGTAAATATTTACATAGTCTCCTATGTAAAGATGTGTGATGTTGCCTCATAGGCACGCTGAGTAGAGATCACCTCTCTGGAGAAGGTTCCTGAAGGGCCAGGACATTGGGAAGAACCTGGTTTTGATGACTTTGAGACATTCAGTCAATTTGTCTTTGACCCATTCCAGGGGATAAATTTTACCCTGTGGAGTAAATTACGATCACTTTTTTTTAATCACCACAATAAGAATATTTAGTGCTACTTCCTGAAGTGTCAAGGAAATCTTGTTAATGAAACGAGGTGAAAATCTTACTTAGTTCCTTTCCTTTTTAATTTATAGCTGGATTTGTTTTAACCTTTCTATACTTCATTTGCAAGTCATGGTGACTTTTAGTACTGATTGTTCAATAGGAATCTTGACCATGTTTCTTTTCTCTTGTACTGGTAGGAAAGGCAAGAATTATCCTGTTCTATGAAACTGCTCTTTGAAAAGATAATGAGAATTAATCTGGAATTACCTCCTTCCTGGTGTTCCCTCTTATTTTTTTTTATTGCCCCTCTAATATTTCCTCTCCACCATCATATCATGGTTATATTGTTTTTGTGGTTACGCTACTGAAACTTCTCGGTGATCATAAAATGGTTGGGAATAAAAAACAAAAGGAAGCATATTTCCTTTCCAGCGTCATCAACACCATAATTTGTTGGCTTGCCCTTTTTTACAGTTGAGCTTTGCACTGAAATTACTCCTTTGCTATCTTAATGAGTTTTGCCAGTTTGTTCATCTGGATAGTGGCAATTTTTTGGATGTGACTCACTGTGTCAGGTTCACGTAGAGTGTTTGGATGCTTTTATGATTCCTCCTTTTAGAAGATGGACTTGACTTCATTCATTTGGCTTTTGACTGTTCTGTTCTCTCCCATCTTTCTTGTTTGCCTGTGGTTGTTTTTACGTAGGTCCAGCTATGGAGAACTGGTTTGGTTTTCTTTGTTCTTGGTTGTTTTTTTTTTCAATTGTTGACAACTATCATAGATCTTAGCAAACAACTAACGTTGTTTCTGTCTCAGGAAATAGCACAAAATATGTATTGAAGCATTATGTAAATGCAGGAAGTAAACTATTGCCAATGTAACTCTGGCTTCTTTGGCCAAGTTGAATTCACAGTGCTGAATTAGGATATCTGGAGGTACTTATTCCATCCTACTGACTTAGGCTTGTGTGGTGGTTTGAACCACCACAAAAATCCAAAATCCAATCTCCAGGCTATGGTATCTCCATATAAAAGCTTGTGGGGAGCAATTAACAGTTATGACATGGTTTGCACTAAGGAAGTACCATTATAATTTCTTGCATGGAGAAGCCAGCAGGTCAGGTTTGATTGACAAAACTGTGGTTAAACCTTTAGGGTTTCGTTGCCTTTCATTCTTTCTGTTGTCTCTTTGGGATGCTGGCTCCTGGCCAGTGAAGGACACAGGCTGGATGAAGGAGCCATGACATGATGGTGCTGTAAGGAGGCAAAAGTGCAGCCTTTCCTTTGCCCAAAAGTCACCAGGTGAGGGGATCAGGAGGATGTGGTGGTGACCCCTTAGAGGTGAGCAGCACAACTCTGTGCTCAGTGCTTTTCCCATCCAGGGGACAGAGTGGCTGTCACTGGGGTAGGGAGGAGGACAAGCCTTTGGAGGACTAATTGTCTAGAAAGTCTGTATTAGATTTAGTATGTTATCAAATGAAGTACAACTCTACTGCAGCTTTTACTTAAAGATCTGATCTGCAGAAATCCATTGAAAAACTAAAACAAAAACAAAAGCTATTGGGTTGAATTTGTTTTGAATTAATCTAATATTTTAAAATTTTGCATTGCTCTTTTGTTCCTTTTTTTTTTCATTTTGACAACTTTTACTGGAAATAACGATGTGTTTTTTTAATCTTAATGACCCATGGCATCACATTGATATTAATACTCCTAAGGCATATGTGAGAAGAAGCTCAAATACTTCAAGCAGTAGCTGCCAGCTGTGAGGCAGTACATTTTCCTGTATTCATCAGGATACTGTGTCAGTGATGGCTTTTCACTCTCCTTATCTCCTGTCATTAGAAACAGTAGCTTTATTTCTGTACTTTCAGAGTTACCAAAGAAAAACACGGTCAGTTCTGGACATTCTGTGTTGCTGGAGGTCCAAGTGCTGGTTCTGCTCCACCCATACTGGAGCAAACTGAAGTTTTTGAAATTCAAGGACTCGACTGCATATGACTGAAAAGTCCCCTTCATTATTTGGGTTTATTTTTACCGAAGCTAGAAGGTGTTAGCAAGCCACCCTGCAGTCCTTTGGCACCCTGGGCCCTGTCCCTTACACCTTGAAGCCTCTTTTGTGGGGGAACTCCATCCCTCTGTCCTTGCCTGGCATCTCTTGGAGTTTGTTTCTTCAAATGTACCCAGGAAAGTGCTGTTATAGCTCAGCAGTCATCAGGAAGAATGACTGGCAGTGGATAGTTGTGCATTCCCATAAACTCTTCTGCATCAGAGTGGGTTTATGATGCTTTTACATGAGGTCTATTTAAATTTATCTAATGTGTGAGGTGAGTTAAAGGCCAAAGTATTGGACTGAGATAAGACAGACTAGTCTCTTCTAGCTCTGTAGTTGTTGGGATGGGGAGTGTTTGACAGGTCAGTTTGTTTCTCCATGACCCACCTGCCTTATCTGAGAAGTTGTTGCAGTTCCCTTGATGTATTTGTAAATGATTTTGAAGCTGTAGGAGTGATGTGTGCTTAACAAAACTAGATTATACCATTATTGGATGCTGCACATTGATTTTTTGCCTTAAACATTTGCGAACTAACGGGTTTGTTTTCACCTGGCAAATGTGTATATGGAATACCATGGAAATCTGTATGTACCTATGACTTCCCTGTATTTTGTGATGTGATAACTATTATTAATCAGAATCTGGATGGAAAATATACTAACAGGCACTAAATTGGGAGGGATGGTTGAAAAATAGTTAAGCAACAGAGATATTTTTCCCCTCAGTTCTTTAAAAAAACAAAGCACAAACCAACCCTAGAAGCTCCCCAAAAAAGAGTGAAGGACACTCTTACTTGCCAATTTGCAAAGGTTTTCAAATGGCAATGTAAAAAATATTTGTTTTTTTTTTTTTAATCATAGTACCTGTTGACTCACTTCAGAATCACCACTTCTGTCTGGTATGACCAAACTTCCTAATCCTTTTTTTCCTCTCCTTTTCAGAGAACAAGGGACAAAAATATCCTCCTCCAACTTTTTAATTGTCCTCTAAGTCTGGGCAGAGCTGCACTTCCTGACTGCTGTGAAGAGCTGGGTAAAAATGGACGCTACATAAAGTGAAGCAGAAGTCCTGAAGCCTTAGTCACCAATCGGATGGACTTACTGTAAGTAGGATTAAGACTTGTTTCTTACCTGTCTGCCATGCAGATGAGTTCAACAGTGCATTATTTACATTTTTTTGCCATCACTAACGAGCAAATACCAACCTCAGCCTTCCCTAAACTGTCACAAAGCATTGGCACGCTCGAGGTGCCAAGCTGCTGTTGAAACCTGCTTCAAAGACATTTGCAGTTCAGTTTTGGGAGAGATGACACCTTGGTAGAGGTTCTAAAAACTAGTCTTATACTTTGGGTTGAATTATGCCGAGTCTTAATGCAACTGCAGTGTGCCTGTGTGCAGAGTTCTGGTCTGCAAGTCAGGGAAGGGTATTTCTCAGTGCATGACTGAGGCACTTCTTAGGCTTTTTTCCATGTGGAGTAACACGAGAAGATTCAGTAGATTACAGTATTTATTAAAATGATAGCTCATGGAGCTGCACCAGCAAACATTTTGTGTTTCTTGTGTCTGTGCTAATCGGTGGTTTTACTTAATGTTAATGTTTAACTTTAAAATAAACCATTGTATGCTTGAAACATTGGACAAAGCTCTTCTTTTTGACTCTATTTTCAAAACTTTATGTTGATATTGTTTCCCTGCTGTGCTTCTCTCACCGTTTTTGGTGCTGTGGCTACAACACACAGCCAAGAAGACAACTCTTTGCAACACGTAAGAGTGAAAAAAAATGTGGCTTGTGGGGCTGCGAGCTGTTATCAAATGAGTTGAATTTGTATTTCCTGATGCTTTGCTCGTGTTCTTGTTTCTGTGTCATAAACCTCAGAGTAAGTGTTACATGAGTAAGTGTTGAGAGAGGCAGGAGGACCTGAACTTGGTACTGACACCGTGTGGGTTGTTGCCAGGATATTCTTTAACAGCGAGAGTGAGCACTGACTTAACCTTCTCAGTTTTGTGTGGCGCTCGTGTTAATGAATAGTTGCCACTGTATAATCCTCAGGGTTGTAGTGAGAGGCTATTGAGATCTGATTTCATGCTGCACCTTAATTTGTACCCTCTCTTCAAATACTTCCGTTTTTGTTCGTGGTTGTTTTTTATTTCCCCCCCCTCCAGGTTTGGCGTTTTTCCAAAGGGAAAACTGACAAGAAAGGTGGACAGAGTTTCTGGTTGTGATTGTTTCCTTTTTTTTTTCTTTTTCTTTTGTGTATAGGTTCATGCTTTACTTCCAAACACTTGAATTGTTTCTGTACTGTTGACAAAGGAAAGATGACCTCTACTGTAGTAAGTAATCAAAATGTTCACAATGTTCGTCTCTGATTTTTTTTTCTTTTTTTACTGATGTTTTATTTCTTTGTAAGTAACAGCCTATTGAGTCATGTACTGATTAATAAGTCTTTTAAAACATGGAATATTTGCTGTGTTTTCTTTTCTGCAAAAAGGGAAAGAGGCACTGTGAGACAGATGTAAGAGGCTTGAATTAACTAACATTTGAAGTGCTCAGATGCTTTTAGGAGAGAGTTATACTTTTAAAGCTTATTTCAGTGGGATAGATTAGAATGGCTTCTAACTAGTTCTTAAAGCTCTTGCAGGATAAATATCCCACAACCTGTTGTAGGCCAGCGTGTTTCAGAAATGGCTTAGGTATACCTGGTGTTGTCACAGGACAAAATGGGGCAGTAAGCATTTATCCTAGACCTGGACAAAGGCTGTTACTTGTCAGCATTTCTTTCTGTGACAGAGCTGCCTAAAGCTGTCCTTGCTGTTTATTTCTACCCTGTCAGATGTTCCAGTGCAAGCGTTTGTGCCACCAGCTTGGAGGGCTGGGCTCAAGAATCCTTCTCAGGCCGAGTTACTTTGGATCAGGAAACTGATCTTGTCTTACATTTTCCAGCCTCGCTCTGTGTTATTTTTATTATTGAGAGTGTGAGGTGTTAGGCATGTGCTGTAAATCCCTTCCTCCCTGTAAACTGGAGTCACTAGTAAGTGTCTGTGTGGGGGGCGTGTGCATTGGCAGAATTACTGAGTTACGGTTCTGAGTGTGGATGGGTTTTGAAACTTTTGTGCTAATTGCTGTCTTGCCTCTTGTTTTTCTTTTTTTCTCCTGTTTCCTCCCCACCTCAACATCATCATTTAGGGTCCACCACCGCCATACTACGAGAACCACGGCTTTCAGGCAGAACACATCTATCCTGCCCGCCAGGCAGTGGGTGCTAATCCATATCCGCACTTCTACTCCACAAATGCTCCCTCAGTGCCAAGCTATGTCCCAAGGGTTCACACCCACCAGTCCACCAGGCCAGTAGCACATTCATCCGGGAGATCGTGTGCATCGAGTAAGTTTTGCTGGGATTTCTTCCAGTTTCGGGGCTCAAGATAATAAAGAAAAGGGATCTGCCCTTCCAGCTCGTGCATTGAAGGAACCACCTCGCCGTGCATGAAGAAGTGATATCTGGCTGGGATGCTGGTGTAACTGGACAGGAACATGGGTGATTTGAGGGAAGGATGATGGAATGGAGAAAAGTTGTCTGGCGAAGAGTGTCTGATTTTAATGTCAGGGAAATATGGTGCTGATGGGTGGAAATTACCATATTTGTGAACTAATTTCTCTTTTTCTCCTTGCTTTCGTTTCAGGTTTAAGGAAAACCATAATAATATTATTATCTATTTTGATAGTCATTTGTTGTGCAATCGCTGCTTTCTTCGTCTGGTATTTTGGTAAGTTGTTGGTTTTTTTTTCTTGTTTGTTTTGTTTTGAAAGAAAAATGCATTAAACTTTCAAAGTTAGAAATATACATTCTCATCTTCCATTTCATGCCAAATGAAGGACAGGCAAGTCTTTGTTGCTTATCTCCCGAGAGATGAACTAATGTTGCGTTCTAATGGCTCAGTTTTGTTAGTGGGTTGTGGTTTTTTGTCCTCTCTTTTTAATGAACAATGCTGCTGTCTCTTCCCTTCCCCTTCATCAGGTAAATATGTTTTTGATGTTAAGCAGTGACAACCTTTTGGCTGTTCAGGAGTGGCTTATTCAGGTGGCTCCTCTGGAAAGGTTTCCTCTATCTGACAAGTGCTGGTGCAGGACAGTTAGTAAAGAATATTCCACCTCTGGCAAGGGTTTTTGCACTGAGGGAGAGCTGTGCATGGCCAACACATTCTGTGGTGCAGAGAAGTCCTTAGAGAAGTCACCGTGGTGCATCAGAAACTGAACTCTGTCCCAAATTTAAAGTTCACTTAATTTTATGCGAAGGAAGGAGGTTGCAGTAAATTTGTATACCTTAACTACAAGAGTGCAAACGGTCAAGGTGTGTTTTGGTTTGGTCAAATGGGACCTCTCTTGGAACGGAGGTCATTTAAATCCATTTCTTTGTTTCTGTGAGGCTTTTGCTTTGAAAGTGTGTAAACACTGGACAAGCCCAGCCCGTCTCACCACCTTAAGCCATACAATGGATGATACATTCACCTTGGAAGTCATCCACAACTGGGGTGACTGAGCTCTGAACAATTCTCTTCAGCTGGAACAATTCTCTTCAGGTTAAGTGAAGTTTGCCTTGTGCTGTCATCATTTCCCTTTCAATGAAAGCCACTTTTCAAAGGAAATTAAAATCCATTTTTTTAATGTTTTTAGGAGCCTCTCCTTTCTGTTCTGTGCAGGAAAAGAGGAAGAGAGATCTACTTGAAGATATCCCTGATCATTGCACTGGGGTTGGACTAGACGATGTTTAAAGGTCCCATCCAACCCAAACTATTCTCTGATTCTAAGAGAGTTCATTTAGAACTACTAGGATGGCACTTTGTGTTCTTAGGGGTGTTTTTTTCACTCACTTTGATTTATACAGGGTGATTGTAATCTTCTTTTAAATGACAGGAAAAGTATATAATTGGAGAACTGACTTTCTTCCTCCTTAAAGTGTGACACTTTGTCAGTGAAGCTGACTCTTTTTTGACAACTTAATGGCTCTTGCTCATTCAGAGGAGGCCAGTGGCCAAAATCCAATCAGCTGCATCAGTGACTTAATCTGACAAGTGATCTAAAGGGCAGAGCAAGACATCCTGTTGTGTCAGGCTGGGCTTCCTCCCATCTCTGAGTTTAAGAGCTCCTATCAAAGTGGAGTCCTTGAGAGCTGGCAGTGGGCACCTGAGGCTCACTGATGTTCAGCCTTAGGGCTGTTTCTCTCTCTCCCTGCAGTGGAGAACCATTGTCTGGGCTCCCTGATCGAGTGTGGATCTTCAGGAGTGTGCATGCCACCGTCTCAGTGGTGTGATGGAGTGAGTGACTGCCCCAACGGGGAGGACGAAACCCGCTGTGGTGAGTGACGGCGTCGGGGGCTCGGGGAGGAGACCTGCAAAGAGTTTTTGAGCAAATGACCTTGTCTAAAACTTGCCTAAGTTACAATAGGGCTGTTTTAGCCTGAGTTATATCTCTAAAATGGTTTAGGATGCTTGAGTGCTCTGAAGGGGGTATATCTAGATATTAAGTTTGTTTTTGGTCTAATTGAAAAGCTGAAAGAAAACGTCTGACTTGGGTTTGAGCTGCCTTGACTTTGAATCAGTTTTTTAAATATTACCTTTTAATTTGAGTTAGGGCTTGTGCAAAACTGAATGTGACATTGTCTCTGGAATGAACAGTGGTTGTTGACTTCTCAGTAAACCTCAGGTGGTAACATAAACCTGGTGGTCTTCAATCACGCTTATCTTTTTCCATATATTTTGCATTCCTTGTTCTCCCCATAACTCTTCAGCTACTTCATAACTCCTTTGTGCTGGCCTGATCATTGTTTCCAACTGAAAGGGTGCCAAGGGAATCAAGAGACTGTAAAGCTGATGGTAGAAGGTGGAAACATCATTGATTTGTAGATTCCAAAGGTGTGGTACCTTGTTTCTGTCACCTGCGCCATGCTGGAAAACTCCAGCTGTGCTCTTATCCTCTCTCTGTGAACTTTTATTCAGCACATGCCTCTTGCAGGATTAGATTTTACTGGCATATGCTCTAAAGCTGTTCCTCTCCATTTGATTGAATAATGGGTTCTTGGAGGAGCTTATTCAATCTGTTCTTTTCCTTGAGCTATTTTATATTAAATTCTTGTGCAAATAAATACATAATGGGGCATGGAATGCCAGAGCTAATTGCTCCTTGTTACATTCTTGCCCTACAAGTGCTTCTCTGAAGAAATTTGGTGTATTAAGATATAATATAAATATATTACAATAGATTATATTTTATTTATACACAGTATGTGATATATTAAGAAATATATTGTTGTGTAGGTAAAAGTTAAGAAAAGGTTGACTATTGCAATCTTTATCAGTGGTATTTCTCAGAATATGAAAGAGAATTTTGAGCATAAAAGCTGAAGATGAACAATGTCTTGTACACTTGCATTTTAAAACTGGTAGTTCTTTTAAAGTGCCTTACACACAAAGAACTAAGTCATTGCCATATTTTGGTCTCCTGGATATTTACTCAGAATTTGAGTTGAAGGCAGCATTAAATTAACATCAGTTCATACATAGAAGTGAATATTATGGGTAACAATACTTTTAAGTAGAGAAACAGCAGTACTATAGTGTGTGATGTTCTTGGTTTCTCTTTTTCCCCCCCCTTTCTTCCTTTTCTGGCAGTTAGACTTTTTGGACCAAATTTCATCCTGGAAGTTTATTCACCTGTCAGCAACTCCTGGTATCCTGTTTGTCAAGATGACTGGAATGATGACTATGGGAAGATTGCATGTAAAGACATGGGCTACAGTGTGTAAGTCCAACCTTCACCAGCCTTTGCACCTACACATAAAAAGGTTAAAATTTGTCTCTTCCATTTTTAAAAGCACGTGTCTGAGCCAGAAAACACATGGGTCTGATGCTGTCAGCGGGGGCTTTTGCAGACTCAAAAGGGAATTTTGCTCCAACAAGTAATGGGGTTTGGCCCACATGGGGTGACCACTTGCTCTGGGGTCACTTGTATCCACTACATAAACTTACAACATACTTCCAGAGCTCTCTCAGGTCGTTGAAATGGCTCAGTGACATCCAGTCTGACCTAATCTGTCAGCACAAGTATTACACAGAAAGCCTTGATCTTCAGAGGGCACAACACCAGCTCTATGGAAGAAAGAGAAGGCTCAGGGGTGACCTAATTGTGGCTTTCCAGTACCTGAAGGGGGCCTACAAGAAACATGGGGAGGGACTTTTTAACGAGACCATGTAGCGACAGGACAAGGGGGAATGGATTCAAACAAAGAAATTCTTCCCTGTGAGGGTGGTGAGGCCCTGGCACAGGTTGCCCAGAGAAGCTGTGGATGCTCCACCCCTGGAAGTGTCCAAGGCCAGGCTGGATGGAGTTCTGAGCAACCTGGTCTGGTGGAAGGTGTCCCTGCACATGGCAGGGGGGTTGGAACTGAATGTTCTTTAAGATTCTTTCCAACGCAGACCTTTCTATGATTCTGTGATAAGATCGCTGTAAATGTTTGTGCCCTGAGTGCTGCTCACGTTCTCCCCATGTAACGCCACAGCCTAAATTCTTCTGTGGTTTAAATATTTGATGTTGCCTCTCTTTGATACAGTTGGAAAATGCTTTCCTCTGTTGTGTGTGGAGCAATGGAGTGAATTTTTGAGGCAGGCAGAACTTGTGTGTTCCAGTTCCAGCTCCAGTAGTTCCAACTCCAACCCAGCAGCAAGAAAACCTCAGCTAGAAGACCTGGCAGAAGAACAACACTTGCTGCCCTTTTTGTTGTCCCACTGAAATGTGGATGTCACAATTTAGTGCACCTGAACTTTGCTGTGTAAATGTACTGGCAAAGTACATTCACTTCATATTTCCCTGTTACATGAGGCTGAGCATTTCTACTGTGCATATTGGATAAAAATACTTTTCTAACCTAGTAACTGTTTGATGTTTAAACAATCTGAGTCTCTGGCACTGTACTGCACCACCAGGGTTCTGTGTTTACTTAAAAATAAAAATAAATATTGATAGTGTTGTCATGTCAGAAGCTCCAGCTTGGCACAGCTTGTTGTCACTTGTTGGAAAACTGAAACTACTGAGTTTTATAATGAGCTTTCTATTTTGCAGGGATACGTATTACTACAGTCGTGGGGTAGTACCTGATGTCAGCTTTAAAAGCTACATGAAGCTGAACACAAGTGCTGGGAATATAGACTTGTACAAAAAGCTGTACAGCAGGTATCTGTCTAATACAAACCTCTTTCCTTTTATCAAGGGTCTCTTTAGCTGTTGTAAGAGGTGTAGGTTCTACTTGCAGCATAATGCAAGCACATCTTTCAGCGAGGATTGTTAGAGGAAGACTTGGTTTTTAATCTGATTGCAGCAGCTGCTCTCCCTTCTGTTTAAAAGCACAGCTGCCTTTTCTCCATCCTTCCTCTCGTCTTTTAAAAGATGTCCCATCCTGTTCCCTCCTTGCTCTCTAGAAGGTTGCTGTGTCAAAGGTAGTTATCTGAGGCTCTTTGACCATCAGCAGGAGTTTCTGTATAGTGACAATAGCTGCAGGCTGTAACACATTCACAGCAGCTGGTACAGCTTTTTTTTTTCCATCTCAAGAGCACATGGCATGCAGGAATTGATCTTTCACTGTGGAAAGTATCATTTTTATTCTCATTAAACAACTCCGAAGTGTCTGGTTCCAAAACCTATAGCCTGCTGTGCCTGGCAAACTTCCTGCAGCTTCCTTGTTTAGAAGCTTCTACAACTACTTCATAAATCAGCTGAGCTTTTTCTCATGCTGTTCTTCATCTTGCTCCTCAATAGGCTTACAAACCTTTTGTATTGGCCTCTTCAGTCTTCCACATAATAGTTTTGGTGAATGCAAGAAATGGTGGAGGCCAGATGGTTGCTGGTAGGGTAGGTGGAGAGAGTGAAGAAAGGAGGGAACCCTCAGCAGGAAGATGAGGCTGAAGGCAGGGCACGTAGCTGGAAAGGGTAGGAAGCAGCTGGAGGGTGGACTTTTCTCACCATTTCCTTCACTGCATGCCTAAGATCCTCTTTGGTTTTTTATTTTTCTTGCAGTGATTCCTGTGCCTCAGGAAATGTGGTTTCCCTGCGCTGCATAGGTAAGTCACTGTGGTTTTCACACTTCTGCTGGTTCATGCTTTGAAATGCTCTAGCTAGGAAATCCTTTTGAATCTCCATAAATACCTGCTGTCTTTGGATGGGCAAATGATATAACTCTGGTTGCCAAGTTTTGAAAGGTTCAGTTTAAGAGGCAGGGTGGGAGAGGAGATGAGGAGGATGTTGTATCCCCAGTTGCTTTGGTCTTTGCTGCCACTGGTTCCTTTAAATGACTTGCCTGTGGTGAAGCTCTGTAGCCCTCACCTGGAGCCATGGTGGGATGTCTGGGGCACCTTTGCTCTCCAACACTCAGCCCTCGGGCAGGCAGTGCCTTCTTGGTGGTGATGGAGTGAGGAGTCTCCTGGCTGTTGGCTGCTTTGTGGAACAGCACAGAATCACAGAATATCCCGAGTTGGAAGGGACCCCCAAGGATCATCAAGTCCAACCCTTAGTCCTGCACAGGACCATCCCCAAGAGTCACACCCTGTGCCCCAGAGTATCATCCAAACACTTCTTGTGCTCTGTCAGCCTTGGTGCTGTGCCCACTGCCCTGGGGAGCCTGTTCAGTGCCCAACCACCCTCTGGGTGAAGAACCCTTTCCTAATATCCAACTTAAACCTCCTCTGACACAACTTCAGGCCATTCCCTGGGGTCCTGTCCCTGGTCCCCCCAGAGCAGAGCTCAGTGCCTGCCCCTCCTCTTCCTCTCCCAAGGAAGTTGTAACTGCAGTGAGGTCTCCCCTCAGTCTCCTCTTCTCCAGCTGAACACACCAAGTGCCCTCAGCCGCTCCTCATGTGGCTTCCCCTCAAGGCCCTTCACCGTCTTCGTTGCCCTCCTTTGGACACTTTCTAAGAGCTTGATGTCTTTCTTGCATGGCAGTGACCACACTCTGGTGTGTGTCTCGCCAGAGATGCTTGAAAGCTGTAATGAACCTCTGGTTTATAGTTTGTGGTGAACCAAGGGCAGCAGCTGCCAAGCGATGTTTGCAATTTGATGGGGGATCTGCGCTCTTGGACAGTTGGGATCCTGGTGTCAGAGTCGGGATCTGAGCTGTGGCAGTGCAAAGGTGGGGAATCCATCTCCCAGCTCGCTGTTTAACTTAACTCCCGTGCGTGTGATTGACTCCTCAGAGTGTGGCCTGTCCTCCAGGAGCGTGAACATGATGAACAGGATCGTGGGCGGCAGCGGGGCCGTGCTGGGGCAGTGGCCGTGGCAGGTCAGCCTGCACGTGGAGGGCACCCACGTCTGCGGGGGCTCCATCATCACCCGCCAGTGGATCGTGACGGCGGCACACTGCGTGGAAGGGTGAGCCCCGCCCCTCCCTCAGCTGCCCATCTCCCTTGCTTCGGGCTGAAACGCACAAATTTATCCCAACTTTCTGCTTTAAAACTCACGTGCAGGTGCGAGGTGCAGCGTTTTGTCTGCGTAGCCAGTATGGGCCTGAAGGCTTACGGCAAAATTTATTCTGGCTGCTGGTCATCTGTCTGCTTTCTGCAGGAAGAAAGCCTTATTTTGCATGTTAAAGTGGAAATTAAATTGGATGTTGGTGTTGGACGCAGATGCCCACCCAGTTTAAGGTGTAAATTCAAGGCACCAAAATTAACGCCAGACAGTACAATGTTTTCGTGAAGATGCCGAATTGAACTGCGAGAAAACACAAAGAAAATGGAAAACAAATATTCCCTAACCCTCAAGTATTGCACTACTGTAGATATGATCAATTTAAAGATACTTGTACCATTTATTTCCTCATATCTTCGTGCCACAGGGTAGTAAAGTCCAAGTCAGTATTAAATGTGGATTTATACCTATCCAAGCAGCACTTTATGTAGCCATCAACAAGAAAAATAGCTGATGCTTTGTGCATTTTTAACCTATAAAGGAGAGTTGAGGGTGCTGTGGTACCTTGTGTACGGCAGCAGAATATGTTTAAAAGGTGGCTGCTTCTGTTGGAGGGAAAACCCACAAAGCAAAACATTTTTAATGCTGGTTGGCTGGATCACAGTTTGAGGCTAAGGTGAGGAAAAATAACTTTGTCCTTAACCTTGAGGAAGGAATGCAAGTGTTTATTTTTATGTGGTGATCTTATCCCTCCTTTGTTGTATGATTTGAGCTCTGTAGTATGCAAAAGCTTTGGGAATGGCAACCAAGCTGTAGCTGGCACAAACCTGGTTTTCAATCTTGATTTGGTTTTGTTTTGGAGGTGGGATGACTTGCAGGCACTCCTGCCTTAATAGTTCTCATGGTGGGAGTTTTAACACTTGTGGGAAATTTTCTATTAAGCATTTGTAAACTGTGCTGGAGCACAAGAAGTTACTTAAATTGCATCGAGCAAGCACGCTTAATGTTTAAAAAAAACACCACCATCAAAACCAAGCAAAAAAACCCCCTGGCATTTTCAAGATAATGAAATTCCCTCACTAGATCAAACTAATTTTGGCTTCTGTTTCCCTGTGTTCTTTGGGTAGAACAGGTGAGTGATACCACTGACATGTGAGACCTCAGAAATAACTCCTTGATCCCTCAACCATGGAAATCAATAGACTTCAGTGTTGCAGTCTCAGACTTTAATTGCTGTGCTGAGTGACATGAGGGGATGGACAGTGATACTTAACCCATTTTGAAGATTTTTTGAATATATTTATGCAATTAGAGTCAAGCTTTCCCAAAGTTGGATGTCTTGCAATTTGTTTATCTTATTCTTCAGAAGTGGTAGTCAAATGCATGTGCATTCTTGTACATTTGACTACAATTCCTGAAGACAATGTTTTGAAGGTCATAATCCATGTCTTGTTAGCACAGAAGCAAACCTTCTAACCTTTCTTTCTCTACAGGCGATTTTCTGACCCACACAGCTGGAGGGTTTATGCTGGGATTCTGAATCAGGATGAGATGTTCTTCAAAAGTGGATACAGAGTGCATCTGATTATTTCCCATCCAGATTACGACACAGATTCCAAAGACAATGATGTTGCCCTTATGAAGTTGGAGTCACCACTGACTTTTACTGGTATGTAAAACTTTACTGCTCTTCTTAAGGCAAAAATCCAGTGGCAATGAATACATCTTTTAAAACTTCTGAGTTTCATCAAGAAATCCTTGTGGGTACTTATGGGAAGAACACGAATGTGGGTACAGACGACTTAGAGGCAGGGTGGAGGAAAAGACTGAGGGCACAGCCTCTGATTTCCTAAGTAGGATTTATTTAAGTCTGTTACATGTACAGGAGGTTTAGACTCATCTCAATCATGTACTTTTATCTCAGAATGGTGCTTAAGTATTGCCACTGCTATATGTGCCTTAGTGGAGCAGCTGACTACATCCTAAATCAATTTATCAATGATGGTCATCATTTGATGGTCATCATTTTGACCATCAAATGATGGTCAAAAATACCCAATCCCAGAACCAAACATTATAAGAAGTTCCTTTCATAAACATAGATGTAGGTTGTTTGTAAGCAAGGAATACAAAATAACAAATGGTTATTTAACTTGCAGTGCTTTTCCTGTACAAGTTTGTGTTTCAGTGCATCAGCTTAAACCTACTAGAAGTACTTTGGAAAGGATTTTCTGCTATTGAGAGGAGGGAGAGTGTCTGTTTACCAGGTTTTTCTGCTGTACACCTCTCATATATATATAGGCACTGAATTCTGCTTGTACTGAAATTATTTTCAGCAGAGTTTTGCAAAGAGAATGCAGAGCTGTCTGAAGTTTTTCTTCTTTTTTGCCCTCTACTGACGAGAAGAGCTGGTGTTAATTGTTCTAGTTAGCCTGATGAATTGAGCTAGAACCACTAACTGCTAGTTCCTCAGTTTGAGGTGAAGATGAAGCAGATTTGAGGTGGAGATTAGATAGTCCTTAGGGAAAGGGCAGCTGGTAAACTTTCTGCTGCTGCCTGCATTGCACAGTGTTGCTCACCTGCAAGGAAGGTAAAGTACAGAGAAAATGTGTGGTGTGTAAGTGGTAGTGGTGCTGAGATACTTCATCTGCATTTATTTTGAATTCTGTCTGCGCATCTGGGATTACAGATGTTACTCTGTTTGTTTTGCAGAAACTGTACGGCCAGTTTGTCTGCCAAATCCAGGAATGATGTTCCAGCCTGATCAGCAGTGCTGGATATCAGGGTGGGGAGCAGAGTACCAAGGAGGTAAAGAGTGGTTCTGGTCTTCTAAATAAATAGTCCTCTTCAGCCTATGAATAACCATTTCATGGGCTGATTGGGCAGTTTGCTCTAGATCTGTTGACAAGCTATTTTTTCACCCCTTTTACATTCCCCAGTATTTACCCAGGGCATTCTGTCTCTAAGCAAGTTGTGATTTGTTGCATTCAGCAGACTGCAGAGGGCCCTCAAATCAGTACTGGGGGCCAGAAATATTCACCCAGGAAACAATTCTGTGCCCCTGCCAGCAGGGCCACCTCCTCCTGTAACAGGGATTGCTGTTTGCCAAACCAGTCCTCTGGAGGTGGGAAAGGGCAGGAGCCTGTCCTTTCCTCCACCTCAGGCTAAAATAGCATGATGCAAGTAAATTTGTAAGGATGGAAAAGGGAGGAAAGGTTTCTTGCAGTAAAAGAAGGTACTGGGTGGGGAGGGGGGTGTTGAGGAAGCTGAGCCCTGAATATGGGAATTGCTGGCAGCTGGTGCTGGACCCTGAAACCGTGGGGAGCTCCTCATCACCTCTTGCAGACCTCTTATATTTTAAAAGTCCATCCTGCTGCTTCTAGTAAGATTATTTCATCTTGTACTGTGCTGGCTGCTGGGATTTGTAGCAGCAACTTAATGTGATGCTTATTCTAATTTTGTCTTTGTATGTTTGTGCCTATTTCAATTTCAGGCAAAACATCAAATAGCTTGAATTTTGTTGCGGTGCCCTTAATAGAACGTTCGAGGTGTAATTCTCCCTCTATCTATAGTGGCATGATTTTGCCTACAATGATCTGTGCTGGAAATCTAGCAGGAGGAGTCGATTCCTGTCAGGTAATTATTCCTAATTAGCATCTAATAATGATCTGATTATTTTTGTGGTCTTTCTCTCTCACACAAACAAATCCCATGGCCTGCCCTCAAAATTAAAAGTTTGCATAACATTTGGTTGGGCTTCAGGTTCCCCTTGTGGTGCATCCCTTTAAAAGCTTTTGTTTCATCTTCTGAATGGCTGCCAGTGCTGAGTTCTGACTAAATACCCGAAGAGGGTGAGGCAGTTCTTATTAATGCTTCAAGGGTGGCTTGTTATCTGGTACTTGAAAGTGATCAAATGCTCTTCATAATCACAGCATTATTAGCATTATTATGGTAATTATCACAGCATTATGCTTGTGAACAGTCAATAATGCAGGTCTTAGGGCTCTGGGCAAATGATTTTTATCCCTGTTGCAAGCAGACATCGTTTAATACCAAAATTGCCATCACATTTTGTTTTAGTGACTCCCTAAAATGGTGGTTAGCTTTTTTTTTTTTTTTGCAAACTTAACCTGTATTCCTGCAGTGAAATGGATCTTATCTTTCCTGGTGGCCAGGTCACTAATTAAATGCTTGTGTTCTGTGCAGGGTGACAGTGGAGGCCCACTGGTGACTAACAAAAACTCTGTGTGGTGGCTGGTTGGAGATACCAGCTGGGGAACTGGCTGTGCTACTCCCAATAAACCTGGAGTGTACGGGAATATGACTGTGTTTACAGATTGGATTTATAGAAATATGCAGGTAAAATATTTGAAGGTTTTTTTGAAAATTTTATGTGTCCCAAATCCTGAAACACGATTTTATTTTTAAAAATAAATAAATAAATAAATGGGACTTGTCTGCTCATTAAGCTGTTCTGTTGGGAAGCATCCAAGCAATTGATAAGACAGAACTTGAACCTTTGTTTTTTGTTTTGTTTTGTCTTTTAAACAGGCAAACAGTTGACAGCAACGTCTTCCCTTGCTGATCGATGTTTCTGAGGACAAGAATAAATGAAGCCATGGGTGCCTGGGATATTTATTCACTTTGCAATTGATTTTTTTTTTTTTCACTTTGAATTTTCTTTTTAAAAATGTCATGAAGGATTGCACACTTGGTTCTGTGCTGGCTACAGTGACTGATGGTAATCAGTGAAGGATTATCACAATGAGCACCTTTCTTCTCCTTGTGGTGCCTGGCAGAAAGTCATTCTGTCAACTGCTTGCTAAAATGTCTCTCTTTAGTTGAGTAACTTTCACTTGGTAATCAGGTACAGGCTTATAATGGCAATTTAAATCAGAATTTAATTTAAGATTTTCATAGCAGGATGTTGAGACGGTTTAGTAGTCTTTTAAATTAAATGTTAAATAATGTGAATGTTGAATCTCTGAGCTGCTGGTTGGCAATTTAAAAAGAAATTAATGTTTTTTTAGTGTAGAATCATAGAGTGGTTTGGGTAGGAAGGGACCTTAAAGCTCATCCAGTTCCAACCCCCTGCCATGGGCAGGGACACCTCCTACTAGACCAGGTTGCTCCAAGCCCTGTCCAACCTGGCCTTGAACCCTTCCAGGGATGGGGCAGCCACAGCTTCTCTGGGCAACCTGTTCCAGGGCCTCACCACCCTCACAGGGAAGACTCTCTTCCCAAAATCTAATCTAAACCTACCCTCTTTCAGTCTGACATCACTACCCCTTGTCCTTTCCCTCAGGACCTTGTTCAAAGTCCCTCTCCCAGCTCTCTTGTAGCCCCCTGTAGGTGCTGGAAGGGACTCAGAGGTCTCCCTGGAGCCTTCTCTTCTCCAGGCTGAACAGCCCCAGCCTGTCCTCACAGCAGAGGTGCTGCAGCCCTTGGACCACCTTTGTGGCCTCCTCTGGACTCACTCCAGCAGGTCCATGTTGGGGATCCCAGAGCTGGATGCAGCACTCCAGGTGGGGTCTCAGGAAAGCAGAGTAGAGGTGAGGAGTATATATGAAGGGAGTTTTTCATGCACTACAGCAGAGGCACAGGAAAAAAAAACAACTGTACATTCAGGTAGTTAAAAATCCTCAGGATCTCAACACAGCAGTCACCCAAGTCAGATTGTCCGATGTGAGACCAATCTGGCTGCCTCAGCCATTAAAAGTGCTGTTCTGCCTTAAAGCTGCTCTGAACCCAAAAAGGGCAACCCCTGCAATCATTCTCTTTGGAGGCTATGGAGAGGAATGTCAGGTGTGGAGAGGGATGTCAGGTATGGAGAGGGATGTCAGGTGTGGAGAGGGATGTCAGGTGTGGAGAGGGATGTCAGGTATGGAGAGGGATGCTCCGGAGCTGTAGCAGGAAGTGGTGAATGAGGTGTCCCAGTGACAGGCTGTGCACACCGAGGATGACTCTTTGAACTCTCCCTGCCCTGTGAAAGGCAAAGGGCAAACTTTTCCAGCAAGGCTATGTTGCAAGACCTTGGATTGCAGACACACGTGCAGAGACTGGATGTTTTATACAAGGAAACACAAAGCTGTGTTTCTGCGTGACCAGATGAACTACCTCATTTATTAAATTTGGCTTCTGATTCCTTAGAGCTCTCCTTTAGGTATCTGCCTGTATGTTTTTTAGCAAAACAATTGATATCTGAGTGCCACCTCAACTAGGATTTTGAAAATAATTTATAATCATAGTACAGAGGATCAAAAAGCCATATCAAGTCACTTTGTTAAGAAGGATAAATCTTTATTGAATGAAATGACTCCACTAGTCTTGTTTTCTCTTTTGGTACTGAGATGTAATTATCTTACATGTAAACACTGCACCAAATAAATTTTTTTTTTTTTACAAATAGTTTTCCTTAGTAGTGCTTTGTATCTGTTTGCTTGGATTTCTTTGGAAGCAGTTGCTGGACTGAAGTGCTTTGGCAATCTGATTAAAAAACCAAAAACAAGCAAACAAACAATAGAGAAACAACCCAAGAGGGTGATCCAAGAGATTGCTTTAATTCCAGTGTTTCGGGTCCTTGGACAAACCCAGGGAAAGAGAGCTGGAAAGGTGTCCTGGAATGTTGAGTGTGGTGGTTGGGTCTGATGGAATCACACTTGACTTGTGAAATAAATTAAATAAGGAAGTTTGGCCTCCAGGCAGTGGCTTGAGGGAGTCACACCCTATTTTGTTACTGCATCTCACACTGTCTCAAGCAATGTGTACCTGCCTCTCTTCTCTAAGTGTGGGACTGGTCTTTTCAATAGCACACGTGCATCAAGTGCACCTTGGGGCTTACCGTGATATAGTCAGTGAGTTTGAAGTACTTTCAAACCAGAAATTAAATAAATTAAGTTGTTATGGTATCAGGCTTTTTTTTATGGCTTCTGACCTGCAGCAAAACACTGTAGTGAAATGTGGAAAACTGTCTGAAGTGATCAGCAGGGTTAAGGAAGCTGTGCTGTAGTGGGGGGAATGCTGTACCACAGAAATCAGCCATCAGCTGCAGTTTCCTGTCAGAGGGTCAAACACTTTCTGTCATTTCTAGCCTGAGGAAAAGGCTTCTCTTGTAACAATCCTGGAAATTACTACATGGCACACTGGTATAACAACATTTTTTTTTTCTGGCTGAATGCAGACATTACTTTTGCTACGCAAAGCACAGCTTTGCCCATTAAAATAAATCCTCCATATGAAAGATGTCATGAACACAGTATGCAGTGATATATTTTGCACTGGCTTCCATGAAATTGAAAGAGCTTTTGGAAAGGTTCTTCATGCCCCGGGGAGGGGAAGGAGAAAGGCAGCAAGCCACCGTGACGACTGAAGACACGAACTTCACGTGATGGTAAAAGTGAAGGCATTTATTATTTATTTCAGCAGGCTTTTTATATCTTTTACACAATAAGCTGCAATTGTTTGTTAAATCTGTGAGTCCTCACTGCTAGCTACAATATTATAATATATTTACCTATTAGCAGCATTAGTTCCTGTCGTCCTTTGTTCAGGTTCCTCTCTCTGCCCGAGGGAACTGCTCCTCCTTACTTTTCCCATGGCTTGCGTCCTACCAGGGTGCATTTCTTGCTGTTTTCCCATATCAGAAATCCCTACAAGCCACATGCTGAGACAGCCTTCTAATATTTAACATCCTGGGTGGTTTAATCCATTTTGGACATACAAATCCTGCCATGTGTTGAATTGCCCATCAGTCTCAAAATTTCAGGTGATGTTCCAGGCATCCAAGAGAAAGAGCCTTTTAGCCTTTCTCTGCAAATCAGAGAACTGAAAAAGGAGACTCAACAGAGCCAATGGCATCCTGTGGAGGTACCCATCAGATGAAGTAAACTTTTATTTTCCTTCCAGGCTGCAATTGTTTCATTCCCACTGTGTGTTCCCTCTCTGCCTATTGGGCTGACACTTAACAGTGGTGAAGCTTTGCAGGGTCATCTCTTAGGCAATGGCGGGAAAGACAACAAAACACACAACCCTCGGAGTGGTAGCTTTTTTATGATAATTTCAATGGTTTTACAGAGCTCATGAAGCAAGAAATAGGATAACATTTGTTTAATCACAGCTCCCCCATTGGAGCCCTTTATGTAAAGGTAGCTGCTTGCATAAAACTGATTATGGAAAGTAAAGCAGAGCTGAGCACTAGAAATGAGTGTTAAAGGTCTGGGCTGACATAAAATGTTTAGAGGATTATACGAAATTCTTCAGTAATGCTAGAAAACAAGAAAAATACCTGTGAAAAACAAAAAAATTACAGAGAGCTGAAGTCTCTCAGGTACTGACAGGCTTTGGTGAGACGATCGACTCGCTGACTGAGATAGTTCCTAAGTTTAGCAGCCTCACTGTCCTCCTCAAGGAGAACGTTTAACTTGTCTTTATCTTGCAAAAGATGCAGCATTGTGGTCTGAATGTTTTCTCCGAAGTCGTGAAGGACAGAGGACAGGATGATCAGAGGTATCTGATTGGAGAGGCGTTTACTTGCTCCCTGCGAGATGGGGGAAAAAAAGGCAAAATTCTAGTTTCCCAAAAAGAACTGAAAAGGGAAGGGGTTATAGGTAATCTGGTAAAAAGTGATACTGAGGTTTCAAAAAGTTGGGTTGAGTTACTGTTCAAGAAGTGAGTACTACTGTGAACTAAAAAATGTTTGCAACTAGTCTCTGTGCCTAGAGATCTAAAAATTGTTACTGGAATGTCAGCTGTTGTTTTTTCCCCCTCAGCAAACTAAAGCCAAGGCAGGCTGTTCCCTGCTTAGCTCTGTCAGCTGTCATTGATATGAGTTATAGGAGGACATACCTGACAAACAGAACTTGTGAACAGTTTCTGTTGTCAAACCTGTCTTCGTTAAATGCTCCCAAGATGTTATGGTGCAGGAAATCACCGAGTGATTTTTCCCAAAGCTGGTAAATTCCTGTATTTAGATGGTATTTAGATGTGGTTGCCCTTTTAAGTGTAAGACAGCTTTGGAGTAAGATTTAGCCTTATGGGGAAATGTCTTCAGCAGTGGTGAGACCAGACTGTGCCTGCATTACATGTAGTGATATCTCCATGAGATAATTTCCTGTCTAACCTGACCAACTGCCTGGTCGAGTTACTGATGCAAACTGAAACAGGTTGACCCAGAAGAGCTTGTGGGGCCCTTTCTCCAGAGACATCTGCAGGGGTTTGGGGCTCAGCTGGTGCTCCTGGGAAACAGGAATAAAAAACTAAAACCTCTCCCACATGGGAGAGCTGCTTCAAGCCCTCCTGGTGCCAGGTGAGCACTTATGCTTGAGTGATTGGCTGCAATTGAGGTTCTGTCTTCTATTCTTTTTGTAATACCTGACTTGAAAATGGCAGTGGGAAGACCAGGTATAGACACATTTCATTTGTAGGTCCTACAGGCAGCCCGTTTCCAGAGAAGTCTAAAGTGTTTCTGGCTTTAGATACCTCTGGAGCTCAATGCCTAAAAATCTTTTGTGTATGATGGTGAGGCTGAACTCAAGCTGAAAAATACCTAAGACTAGATGTTAAGTTTTTCTTTGTAGTTTGCAGAGATCTAGTGAATGGCAAGCAATTTGGCTGAGTCAGCTAAAGCACTTACTGAGCCTACTTACTCTCTAGGCACTAATGACCCTGTGAGGGAGCCCAGGTGCTTTAAATAGGGGTGTTTGTCTGGAGCCAAACTGTACTCAGAATTTTGACAGTCCTGTCATAGGTCACACAGCTTCATGCTTGCCATTTTCAAAGGCCATGGATGCTTAGGAGCTTCCATCTCATTCAAACTGTATTTGGCCTTGCATAAGTCCCATGGAGATATGGTGCACTGGCATGTTTTTTCTGTTGAAAATGGCTCTTAGGGCATTTAAAAAATGTTTAACTAGCATGTAAGTCATACAGATTACAGCAGTGAGTATAACAAGGTGGGATAGAAGAGCTTATGCAGTTCTGCCTTTGTCTCTTGTTCTCTGAAAGCCACTGGTTTTCTCTCCATCAGCCTGAGCAGCCTGGACATTTAACTGCAGAAATTTGTCAAAACCTTGCTATTAGAACTCAATAAGCTGCTACTTACTTTAATGAATTATTAATATTGAACCTGTTGCTTTCTGAGAGAGGTTTATGACAAAGCAAATCCTGATACTGCGTGTTCTCTTTTCTGTCTTACCCTACCATGATCCCTTGTTAAAACATCCCATTTGTCTTCAGAGACTTAACTTCTAGGGAGCTGTCTGCAGTACAGCAGATGCACTCTGATCCCTACAGACAGCTGATCCATTTTAACTCCATGTTTTATTATCTCTCCTCTTGCCACGTTAGCTTAGGATCTGACTGCGAGCCGTGGACACCACGTTGTGCTGGCTGCAGGAATATGCAGAGTGGCTTGAGCTCTCAGATGCCGTGCCAAATGCTAAAGTGCTGTATATAATGTTATTAAGCCTGTGAGAACCAGTGTTGTTTGAAAACTGTGAGATGAACTTGCAGTGGAGAGAGCAGCCCTAGGACTGTCGCTTCCTTTGCTGAGAGGGGAGCTGGCCATCACTCAGTAACTTTTAATTACAGGGCCAAGGGCTCTTCCCCATCCTGTCCTCTCCTTCATGCTGGTGAGTGACTGTCCTTTCCTCCCCCC